AAGCTCCATCAGAATTCTTTGAAACACGTCCATAGGGAAAATATCTCTGGACTCTCTCCCCACAGCTCCAGTTTGAGTAATACAAGGCAAGGCTCCAGTTGTCCAACACTATAGAAATACAATGAATTCCCTGATTATTTACTATGATATATTATTTAAAGAACAAGTAGTTAGGGTATTTATATTGATAATGATAAAAAAAAACATCCAAATTTTGCTTACGAGAATGTTTTTAGACTATAGAAATGAAATTATTTTATTTTCTTTTACAAGAACCCTCTCTACACTGCACACTAAAGAGTTATGATCCTAAGGTATTTTTCTGCAGTTAGAGTGATCTACCCATAGATCTAAATTCTGAAAAATATAAATTTACAATTTATTACTCAATTTGTAATCAATTCAAGTATTCTTAACATTTTAAAAGGCCAAGATAAATTAACTGAATGTGTTATTTACATGTATTTTTTCTATTGAAGTAATTAGAGGTGTAACAATACAGCAATACATCGATACATATTGATCGCAAGGTCTCACAATACACATATCGTATCGCCATGTATGTATCATGATACAGTACAAGTTAATGTTCATGCCTTATTTGAAAATTCTTCATGAAATCTGTGAAAATTTAATGTTACAAAATGATTGAAAACAAGGTAACAATATAAAAATATAATGCTTAGACTATATGTCCACCTCTAAATAACTTTGATTATGGGTCTCAAGATAGTTTCTTTTATATTTCCTTTAATTGCGGAGGTTAACAAGCAAGAATAATTAAAGATATCATTAAATTTAACTGTTGACAGCTGTATCATGATACATGTTTTATCGCAAGACCATATCGTGATATGTATCATATCGCTAGATAGCTTGCGATATTCAGGCCTAGAAGTAATTAACAATGATTTCTATTCACTGATACTGTGTTGTCTTTGAACATTTTTCCCGGGGTACTTGTAAATGCCATGCAGCATACATTGAAAATTAAGTAAACAAGCTCAATATTAACTCCTTTATACAATATTTTTCTCAATGTCCCCCCCAAAAAAATTTGCACTTGTGTAGAGAGGGTTCTTAATATAACATTTAAGATACAAGTACTCAGCTTTAATGTTAATGATGGAAAGAAACACTGTTTGCCAAAATAAGTATCTGATAAACATATTACCAAGTCTGGTATTAGGCTGGCTTTGTCCTTATTTTTCAGCTTGTGAATCAATGGCTCAGTAATTGTTGACTCAGTGCACGTGACAGACCACTTTCACTTAAAGCCTGAAATAATAAAAAAACCAAATAAAAAAAATTAAAAGTTATATTTTCAATGATTAATTCTAGCCAAGAAATTACATCAATTTTGATAGACATGCATTCACCAAAGGTCTAAATGATATATGATGCATTGTTAAATAAAAGTAAGCAGTTTCGGTTTTTCAGAAATTCACAAGGCTAAAAAGGGCCATAAGTGAACCTTGTTCTTTGAGTTAAGAAAAAATATGCTGCATACGTGCGGCTTTTAAGACAGAAAATTGACAGTATAAACATACCTACTCTGAAACACATGATTGTGGGATTCACATGTTGACAAACAGCCTTAACACACCATCCAGGAAGTTGCATCATGCACACCTGAAAAAAAGAGTTCCCTTTAATTCAGTGGGATAATCCTGCTAATGATATGATATTCCTAGTACACACGTCCAAATTTTATATTGTAGGCCTAAAAAAAGATGCTGAACATGGAAAAATATATAATCAAATTGTCTCTATATGTATTGTATAGAACTACAAATGACTATAAAGTTTATTTTGATTGGCTATTTCCTTGCAAGAGAACTTTTAGACATTTTACTAAACATTAATGAAATTAAATGAAAATTGAAGAAATGTCTTTTTGTTACTAGTATTCATCTTTCTTATATAGGTACTAATGCAACAAAGACCCATGCACCCTAACTTTCAATTCCTACCTAAATGTTACACCCATTTAATTCAATACTTTAATATGACAATTTTTGCCATAAAAAACTTTGTTTAATATTAAGAAAAAGTTCAATGGTAATTGATTTATTATTTTAATTCCAGAGGTACATGTCAGGTTTTGTAAAATAGGGGCTAGACGATATTTTTTATTGAAATTGGGCTTTAAAGCATTATGATATTTTGAAATATTCTTGTAGGTCAGAAAAATAAAGGGACCATAAGCCCAGTCCAATTTCTTGTTCTCATTAGAAGTCTAAGTAAAGAAGAGTTTCAGGACATTGTACGGCAACAGAAAAATGGAATGTTTGCAGTTATAGATGCCAAGAGTCGAAGCAGCGAGATGAAGTTTTTACGACCCGGGCCTAGTGAGGTCCAGCCAGTAGACACCTACATGGAATCTGTGTCAGATGACCCAAATTCAAAATTATACAAGGTACTTCACCAAGAAAAGACTGCTAAATTGTGGAACAATGCATTTAAAGAAGACTCACATAAGTTTCCAGACTGTGATGGTCGACTGGACTGGTATCGGCATGGGGAGGAAAAACGAAGCTTGGCATGGATCCTTTCTATCCAATGTAAGAAGTGCCACTATACCAGTCACCAAGAAAAACTTTACGAAGAGGTGAGAAGATCTGGCAGGGGATGAAGAGCTGCACAGCTGAATGTGGCCATGGCTGTCGGTCACCTGGGTACCAGTACAACAGAAGGTATGCGAGGTATGCTTCTTGGTGCAAACCATTGCAGTGTCAGCTGCCAACATGCAATAGACCCTGCAACAAAATTGGAAAATTATCATCAATGTAAATAAGTAAGGCAGAACATTGATGAACTTAATGAAAAATATGGACTTCCTGACACCCACCATCAGAGTGGAAGGAGATGTTCAGTACAATAATGCCACCTTCAGTGCCATTGAAAAACCCCATTCCAAACTGCCATCAAGTGATTTATACCCTAAGTGAAATTGTAACTCAGAGGAAAACTGTTGTCATGTTGGCAGCGTTCTGTGGGAATACATTATGCAAGAAAGGCACATGCACACCTACTATAAAACAAAGGAAAGGAAGTTACCTGCCCAGGACACAAAGACTGCACTGCAACCATTCCTCTGGAGACCACCATTGGAGATGAGCAGAGATGGGCCACATACTAATTGTGTTGGTGAGTTATAAAGTGATGACTGTCCACTAGTCATATTCCATTTCACCAGTAATGGAGACAGTGCCACTGCATCTAAAAAACAAGGACACATGATTGAAAACCTTATGGACACTTCTTTGACTCAAAGAAAACAGACTGCTAAGTTAAAGGCTCCATTCAGCAATCACATGTTTCCAGGAAGAACCAAGGCCATAAGAGAGATTTGCATTGGACCTGAAGCTTCAATGCAGGAGAGAGTACAAGAATTGCTATAAACACTTCTCGGGATACTAACCTTTGATAAAGTGGGGTTTGTCTACTGCTGTTGGTTCCATCATAAGCTGCTACCAGGGAAATTGCGGAAATAAGTCCTGTCAACTTTATTCCTTTTACTCTCATGGACTGAAAAAGTAAAAAGTAGAATTCTTTAATGTTGTTTAGTGACTCTGAATTTAACATGACAGAAGAAGACAAAATTTGTTTGATTTAAAGACTGCGTAAATTTGATTTTAGGACCAATTTATTAATTTTAATACAGTTAAATATCATACTTGTACACAAAAATCTGAATCTGTAAATACCGTAAATCTAAAAAATTTTACTGTAGATAAATTTTTAGCAAATTTGCATGTGCATTGCATTCGCAAAAATATTTAAAGTAAAAATAAATCAACATGTGAAGATTTTTTCTGAAAGCTCGTGTCTTTTTTTTTTAACTCAGAGAATAGGCGTCGGTAAGCACTGGTCATTTTTAAAAGAAACCTGTTAATACTACTATAACTACAAGTTAATTACCCGTGACTGTAATTGCATGCCCTTATTATATGCAATATCGTCCGATGGTTTGACAAGCACTGAGGCGATATGCCCCTTTTTAATTATTTTACCAATTAAGAGAGAACTGTTATTTTATCTAACCATGTATCAACACGGGCGATAACTCGAACTCAGTGCATTTACTAGAGAGTTCCAAATCATAATGTAAACACGGCGTGTGAAATTTTAGGTAAGAAAAAAAACAAACGTTGAAAAAATAAGTTATATATTTTTTACTTCATCTGGATTATATTTTAGGTTAAAAGGCATACACAACCTCTAAAATGTTTGTTATAATCAATTAAGACGTTATTTTCAGTGCAAATCCTTTTACATATACATTTTACATTTCTTGCCACGTTACGAGTAAATGGGTGATGTTCTAATAACTTGAAACAATACCTGGTTTGAAAATCTTCAGCATACATGTTAACCTATTGTGATGAAAAAGAGGGAGATTCAGACCTCAAAAGAGGTAGCATTGCGCGCGTGTTGTTTAACGCTTGGATTATCGATATCTTTCATGTAATATACATGTATATTATAAGCCTTAAATGAAATCAAGTACCTATACTTATTAATCTTAAATATCAACAGCAAAGAAGAAAACAGAAACACCTTAAGTTTGACATAAATTGTACAAATTCAAATATTTTTCATGCTCATCATTTTGCTTGGATTGGCTTCTTTACTTAGCCTTTTGAAGAGTGATCTTTGCTGAAATAGCCTAAAAACAATAATTCTGAATGTTCATTCAGTTTTTAAACAAAACAAATGATGGCATGGTTTAATCTAGATCTAAAACAAGTTCGTTTCTTTCGTTATATAAATCAGATTTCCCGCAATGATCGAAAACGAAAGTAGAGATGTGCCACATGACTTGGTCAATCGAGTGATTTCTATTGACTTTATTGATAAAGTTGTGAGCTTCTGTTCCCTCAAAGACGATGTCAAATGTTTTCATCTAATTCTTAAAAGCTGTATCTCCTTTTTCATGGCAGGGATGTTGATTAATTTATCGTAACCAATGTAATCACTGGTAGTCTTATGTTGTTGTCGTTGTCAAATCCGTGCTTGAAATCTATGTACAAAAAAAGCGTTTGTATGATTCCGAGTCAAATCACGCGATATCTAGCGAGATTTTATGAGAGTGGCTTCCAAAATGGATACCCAAGCGAACCAAAAATACTTTAGACACAGCTTTTGTAGAAAAGCGGTAGATTTCTGAATGAAATCGGTAGGCGGGAGATGGAGTGAAAAAGCGGTAGACTCCCGCCTAAATCGGGAGAGTTAACATGTATGTCTTCAGTGATTTTTATTTTTAGCGCCAGTGACAATTCGCAAAAATTTGAAGCGTAAAAATTAATCATCAGGTTTTTGACCCAAATTCGCAAAAATAAATCGACGTAAAAATTTCCAGATTTACGTTAGGGCAAATAAAAAATTAAATCCAAAATGTATTACAAGTAGTAGAAATTTGAAAGTAGAATATTCATGTACATAAAGTTGTGCACTCACTGAATAGTCATGGAAACTCAAAATTGGAAACTGTGAATCTGTAGTGGCACCTGTTGTAAAAGGAAGTAGAGTGGTCCATCATCTAAAACAACAACAAAATAGGCCAAATTACTTCAAAATGAAACAAAAACTGTTAAAATATAAATCGCAAAGAAAAAACTGCAATCTAAAAGATATCAGCTGTACGATAAAAAATCTAAAGACACTTCCAGTAAATCATTAACAGATCAAAAATTAAAAAGAAAGCTGCATTATGCTGTTACTTTTTATTTATATCGCACTGATTCTTTTCAACTGTGTAAATGGGGAAAATGTAGACATGTAAATTATGTATTATTATTCCCCTACCCATCTTAAACCAGCTCTAGCTATAGACGGGACTAGGTTTTCACCGAGTCCGTCCAAAGGTACATTACAAGTGATTGGTAGGAATACAGGTGTCAAAACTCTCTGTTGATGACCAGATTGCATCCTGCAGTGTAAATCTGCCATTATTGATCTTAAACAGGGGAGACTACTCCTGAAATCAGAGAAATTGTAGTGAAAAAATGAGTTACATGTTTTTCTTTAGGTCTCAAACAAGGAAATAATTTCACTATTTATTTCTTTATACATTTTAATTAAATAAATTGACTATACTTAGACTTTAAGCATCTAATTCATGAAACAGAAAATAAGGATTATTGCTTAAATAAAAATTTGAAATCAGAGTTTAAAAATACACCTTATGCCTCTTTTCTGAAAGAAATTTGACAGTAAACAACATACCTACCCCAAAATACCCATGGGTTTCACATAATTTGACAAACAGCCTACACACCATCCAGGAAGCTGCTTCATGTACACCTGCAAAAAAGAGTTCCCTTTAATTCAGTGGGGTAATTCTGCTAAATTAAGATATAATTTTCCTCGAATGAGTCTAAATTAATACTGTAAGCCTGAAAAAAAAAAGATGCCAAAAATGAAAAAAAAAAATAAAAAAAGTCTCTTTACATATTTGATTGGCTATTTCCTTGCATATCTTTATAGCCATAAGAGGGGCGTCAGTACAGATCACATTATGCCTGAATCAACACCTATATCTTATGCACTGTCAAACACTATGGTAGTCATCTAATTACTTTTCCCTTAAAAATGTAGTACCTTTGGCACTTATTTTGGACATTATTGGTTCTAATGGCCCCGGTCCTCAGGATTGTAGTACTATCAGGACATCACAAGGGTCTGGGGTCTAATGGCTCCGGTCCTCAGGATTGTAGTACTTTCAGGACATCACAAGGGTCTGGGGTCTAATGGCTCCAGTCCTCAGGATTGTAGTACTTTCAGGACATCACAATGATCTGGGGTCTAATGGCTCCGGTCCTCAGGATTGTAGTACTTTCAGGACATCACAAGGGTTTGGGGTCCCTCCAGGATCTAAAATGTATTCTTCTTTCTTATAATTCATGAAAAATGATGCATTACTGCATATGCAGAAGTTTTATCAAGGACCTATATTAATATATATAGCAATATTTAAGATTGAATTTTGATTTTACTTATAAGTCGAGAGAGCTAAATTTGAACATAACTAACAATACATTCCACTTACAAGTTACTATTGTACATCTAGGCATCATTAAATTAATAAAATTGCTTGCTGCAATTTAATCATACAACTTGATTGACTGCCTTCAACTTTACAGAAAAGGTAAATTTGCAAGATCAATTTAACTGACTAAAACTTCATGTATACCTTGTTAAATCTTTTCAGTTCTCTGTATTCAGAACTTCCTAATAATTAGCAGTTTTACAGACACATACTGCCAAAAACTGGGTATGGCTTTATCTTCTTTGGCAGGGGATGCTCACTCCTCCATGGCACCTGATCCTGATGTTTTCGGGGTTCCGTGTTTGCTCTGCTCCTGATTTGTACTGTTTTAATGAACTTTTGAACTTGAATACTGTTCTTTATCTCCATGTCTAATAATTAGTCTGTTTTCTTTGCCTTTTCTTTCTTTTCTACACAGTAATGGCGTTATATCTTAGACAAATAATGCATTGAACATAATATAATCTGGCCCATCTCAGATTCATTTCAACCTTGATGGTTGTCTTTGTTTAAACAGAAGCCGGCTGCAATTACAGTTCTCTTTCAAGGGCACCTATACATGTAATAATTTTCTCCACTCAATAGTAACACCATAATAATGCACAGAAAATGCTAATTCAGAGTAAACATTATTATGCTATATTCCTGAACCCAGCTAGGTCAAACATACATTCCAATAATCTTAGATCAGACATGCATAAAAAAAAATAATGTGTGCAATATAATATAAGTTACATCAGCAGATCATATAATGGTACATGTATATATTATAATTACCAGTAATTAATCCTAATGCTAATTCTTAATTTCATCACAATGGTATGTATGAGGTACAAGAACATATATTTTCACATACAAGATATACAAAATACATGATTTAGTAAGGAAGAGTAGTGTCAAAAAAGAAAACATGTCTGAAAGCTGAGCTAGGCCAATATCTTTTTAGCAAACAAAGACAGCTAGCTTTATCAGTGAGTCAACATTTGTGATCGACATAATTTTTCTCAATGAAACTTATATGTATTTACATGAGAACAATACTTCTTATCACTTAGTTTTACACATGATGAAAAACATGTACATGCATTCCATATTACATGATGAAATTTATCCCTAATGTATTTTTATTACATATTAATTAAATTACATATTCTTAGAGATCTACCAGTGTTGATTGGAAGTTTGAGGTTACAATTAAGTTTTAAATTTAAATTAATTCTTAATACAATTCTTAAATTTTAATTATTTAATTTATGCTCATAATTCTGCCAGTCTTGTCCTAATTGACCTAACAGTATTTTATTCTTTCAAACTGAATGAAATTTTGATTTATCCACACATAAAACAGACCACACAAAATCAAGATATCTCTTAATATACCTTTCAACCATTGGTGCCTAAATAGACCTTAAGAAAAGTAGAGAGCAATTATGTATGTCAACGACTACTCACATTACATAAAAAATTTAGAAACAAATTTCAAACACTTAAGTATACCTTTTCTAAGATATCAACGTTTTTGTAGCCCCGTACTTCACACATGTACGTCAACAAAATTGGGCTTATAACTCCATCAAAATACATGACAATACCTATAAGCATTAAATTCATTCACAATATCAATTGGTGCTTCTATGTATATTTGGGGGGGGGGGGGGTTGGGGGTAGGGGGAATTCTTTCTCTAAAAAAACATTATTTTAAATCTTGTCAATTTTTACTTGAAGCTTCCAATGGTCACAATTAATAATAATCATTGAAAATAATCAAAGATCTTTGTTAATCCTCAGAGTTATCAGATAATAAAACTGTGTCATCAGCAAAGAATATAGTATAAATAATTTGAACATAATCGGCATTTACTTTCTAAATTTTGCAGACTAATGCAATATATAAACAAATCAGCTTTAATCACTGTTTTGAAGGACATTCAGACAGACAGACAGACAGACAAAGAATGATCTAAAAATAAGTTATATTTTCAATTAAAGAAAAAATATTTTATTTGATTGCTATTTTAGCCTGAAAAATTTCTTTGCAAATTAGTTCCAATTTAAATAACAAAAGTACAATTATTGTCACAAACCTAAAACATTAAACACATTCAAAATCTTTCCAAATTAGTTTCAATGACTTTAACTGTAAATCAATAAAAAACTAGAAATATGTCCATAGGACATGAATGCCCCGCCGAGGATATATCAGTAAAGCAACATGAAAATATGTATGTGTTTAAAATTTGATCAGAATATCCAGAATAGTGATGCAGCTGAATTGCTTGTTTGGAAAATATAGGTCAGATCCAACATCCAAAGCAAGTCTGGTAGTGTCCATCCCTAGATGCATCATCCATGCAAGTTTGGTTCAGGTAGGGCTTAAAGATACTTGGGAATGAAAATATAGGTCGGATTCAGCATCCGAAGCAAGTAAGGTAGTGTCCATCCCTAGATGAATCATCCATGCAAGTTTGGTTCAGGTAGGACTTATAGTTACTTGGGAATGAAAATATAGGTCAGATTCAGCATCCGAAGCAAGTTTGGTGGTGTCCATCCCTAGATGCATCATCCATGCAAGTTTGGTTTATGTAGGACTTATAGTTACTTGGGAATAAAAATATAGGTCAGATCCAGCATCCGAAGCAAGTCTGGTAGTGTCCATCCCTAGATGCATCATCCATGCAAGTTTGGTTCAGGAAAGGCTTATAGTTACTTGGAAATCAAAATATAGGTCAGATCCAGCATCCGAAGCAAGTCTGGTAGTGTCCAACCAAAGATGCATCATCCAAGCAAGGATGACGGAAGGACGAACACTATATGGCCTGGCCATATTCATGGCGGGGCATAAAAAAATCCATGAAAATAGTTAAGTTTTTGATGAAAAAAAAACCATGTAGTTTCTGTCTTGAACCTGAATAGCAAAACAATCTATAAAATTTATTTTTAATTTAATGAGAAAATAAATCATTATTACTCCTTTGAACCTAGAAAAAAAAATACAATTTACAAAAATTAATCCCAATTTTTAAAGGAAAATACATGAATGTTATATTGTATGGAAACTGAAAAACGAAAGACATGATCTTTGAAAATAAGTTCCAACATCTACGAGAAAAAAAAATAAATTATATGTCTTGAAGCTGAAAAACAAAACACACAATCTATAAAAATTAGTTCTATTTCAATGAAAAATTCATTTACTACTGTCTTAAACCTAAAAAAAAAAATCACAAAGAATTAGTTCTAATTTCTAGGAGAAAAAACATTAATTTTTTGTCTTGAACCTGATAACAAAAATACAATAAATGCAAATTGTTCCAAAATTAACTTCTATTAGAAAATATATTGATTAACTGTTTTTTAACCTGAAAAAAATCTATGCATTGCCAAATTAGTTCCAATTGCGAAGAGGAAACTGTCTTGAACTTGAGATCCAAAGCACAAAAATTTAAGTTCCAAATCCGATGAAAAATAAAATATAATTTCTGTCTAGAACCTGTAAGACAAA